TCTGAAGGTTATCGGAGGAGTGGATTACAAGAAGGATATCAGGAAGCCGATACATTTTATATTTGAATAAATTTTGTTTATTTTAATCAAATATCAATAGCAGAAGGTTAAATATATTTCTAAGATATTTTCTTCAAATTTATTAAATTTATTTAATTTACTTAAGATAAGAACAAGAATTAAAATAGTACAAGTGCACTTGTCTTGATTAATAAAGCATTGTTAAATGTCTTGCTTATTGGCATTTATTATTAGGAAGTTTATGTCGTTTCCAGCAATCACCATCTTTTAAGATCGAAGAAAAAAAAATAATTATGTGTTTATATATATCATTAGAAATGTACTGCTACAAACTCTGTATCAAATTTCCAAAAGAAGTAGATGAACTGTTAAATCTAGAGATTGTTCCGGATACGGTTAAAAACAAAACAAAACAGAACAAAACCAAACAACAAACAAGTGAAGCACCCGAAGCAGAGAAATGTCAAGCGGGGTGACGCGGGGTCACTCGTCCCACGGCAGGACCACGTACAGGGGGAGACGGGCCGAGATGTCGGGCTATGGCGCTGTTTATTTTTTTATAGCCTTTCACAAAGGCTTTTAGGGAAAATTTAATTCGTCTGGCCTTCAGCTCTGTCTTCTTCCAGATCATGTGCTTCCTTTTTGGCCTCCCCTTCCTTTCCCTCCTGTCTGGAAGCGGGGAATTTGTCCTTGTTGTTCTCTTTTTTCCATTTCATTCTTCTGTTTTGAAACCAGATCTTTACCTGCCTCTCGGTGAGTCCTAGTGCGTGGGACACCTCGATCCTCCTCTTCCTGGTCAGATAGGGGTTAAAGAGGAACTCCTTTTCCAGCTCTAGAGTCTGGAATCGGCTGTATGTTTGTCTTCCTCTCCTCCTACCCGGCGCTGCTGTTTAAAACAAAAACACAGGGGTTTGGAGGTTGGTGTGGCCGTTCAAAACAAGGCGCAGGCAGGGAGCGAGCCTCGAGTCCCCCTGGAAACCCCTCGGGAGAAGCCCTACAGAGACGCAGGGAGAGAAAGCGGGGGCACGGAGGAGCCTCGAGCTTTACACACGAGTGCGGCAAAAATAGCGATAGAGCAGATGCCCGAAGCGCCTCAGCTCTCCCCCCGCATCGGGGTTTACGGGACCGAGTTTGCGGGGTCACTTTATTACCGGGTAGCCCCCCCCGGCCTTGCATCTTTCCCCTTCGGGCGGCGGGAGCCGGGCGAGCGGGTCAGTGGCGCCTCCGTGTCCGAGGGGCGACTTTAAGGCTGCTCGTGGGGTGACAGCCGCCCTCTGCAGAGCTTTCTGCTTGCTTACTGTATCGCTTTCTTATCGCGAGCCACCGCGGTGATAGGAATCGCGGGGATAGAGGCAGGGAGAGAGGGAGGCAGAGGCAGGAAGCGAGAGGCAGCGAGAAAGAAGAGGGAGGAGGAGAAGAAAGTTTCGAACTCAGACGTGAGATGGAAGCAAATTTTTGACTGCGTCCAACCTTGTGGTCTCATCCAGGGAAACATTTGAGCAGGAGACGAGCTCTGATTTAAGTGGTCTGGTTCCTCGCCAATATTAGCACTGGACGATTTACAGTCAGGATATTGTACCAGCTCGGCCTCTTGCTGTGTCGTAAAAATCTGCTGTCTCTGTAAGTTATCGTATCC